CGACATCAGTGAAGATCTCTGCTTTGCTGCACTTGAGCCCCCTTCCCCCCCAACACGGTTTAGGAACTTCATGGTGTGGCCAGGACAAAGGGTCGTGGGAAGGCAAAAAAGAGGCTTAAACTTTACCTGTAAATGCAGACAGGAAACAGTTAGGCATGTGGACCACATGGTCTCTGCCGCAGCCACTCAGCCTGGCCCTTACCCTGCAAGAGCAGTCGCAGCCAGTGCACTTCAGAAACTACAGAAACAGGCGCCAGGCCGGCTTTGGCCACGGCTGGTAGTTTGCCAGTCCCTGCTGTGACCGTGTTTGGTTTCATGTTTGGTGAGCCCAAGGGCAGTGCCACTGATAGTAAAAAGGTAGGAAACATAAAAACGATTGAAGACTAAATTAACATGAAGCCATATTTAGTTCCATAGTCTTCACTTTTCAAAGGAAATTATTGAAAACTAAGCCTAGTCTGTTCATGTCCATTGAAATGAACTTGTTTCAGGACCTGCACATAGACCGGGGCTGTCCACACGCCTGGGCTGGTCTTCTGCCCGGTCCGTGCCTGTGCCTGCTTTGCTGTGTTCTTTTCCTTCCCTACACAAAACTCCCACTTCCAGAGGAAAACAGATTTCCAACTCTCCTATGCTTCTCCCTCCGTATCCCACAGGTTCCTCATTAAATACCAGAGTATTTTACTTTCTGCAAAAGCCAGTTCCTGAAAAGCAGGTTCCTGCGCTAAGTTGAATTTGTGTAAATCCAGTCATTGATTTAATGAAAGCCTTGCACCCAAAGGGGAGCTTTCAGAGCGCCTTGTTCAGGGCCGGCGTTTGCTCCTACCCTCTCGCAGCCAGATTCCCCTGTTTCAGGTTTGCTTACAGCAGAGCGTGCCCAACAGTAGTAGGTGCTGTGTCCTCTCGTGGGGTTATTGCATGATTGCTTATTCCAGCTGTTTTGCTTACGTTGGCTCTGTCTTTCTGGCTAAATTTAAAACTGTTCAGACATAAGTTTTATCTTCTGCTTCTGTGCATTTCTCTCCTCTTTGCGCCTGATAGGTGAAGAATGGTGTGCACTGCCTGAACTGCCAGGGACTTTTGAAATTTATACAAAAGTATAACATACAACGATGGCCTACAGAGCATATTCAAAAACTTATGACTTGTGTTATGATGATGGAATTACGAATAATTTTCCCTCTTTTACCTGTTTCTTACAAATTTAGAATGATCCTTGTTTTTATAAGTAAAAGAATGACTTTATAGAAAAGGTTGCCTTTTGTTGGTATTTATAAATATTCCCTAACTTACAACATTCTATTAAGTATTAGAATGATGGGATTGGAAATGGAGAGTAAAAAATTTTTGAATATAGTGTTTTTCTTCAGCTGATCATTCACAGCACTTACCAGGGATTCTTTGAAGATGAATCCAGCCAATTCCTGTCGCGCCACTGAAATGGGAGTTTTTGGTCCTTCTCACTGGTCTCAGCAGCATGAATTGTCCTTTTATCCTGTGATTTCCTAGGAACTTGGACCCCGATTGGCTGCAATGCTGAACTTTAATCTTCAGCAACTCTGTGGTCCCAAGTGCCGTGACCTGAAAGTCGAAAACCCCGAGAAATATGGCTTTGAACCAAAGAAGCTGTTGGACCAACTGACGGATATTTACTTGCAGCTGGATTGTGCGCGGTTCGCTAAAGCCATCGCTGACGACCAGGTCAGTGCCGGGGTCCCTGCCGTTCCAGAGGGAGTCTGGGGTCAAGCTGCTGCCTGGCAACTTGAGTTTGCTGTTCTGGATTTCCTGGCAGATCCGTGCAATGACATAGCCATCTGTTCCTGAATTCCCCACTTGAAATTAAGGAAGGTGATACTTTTCAAAATATGGTTTGAGACATTTTTAGTGCGTAAGTGGAAATCATGAGCACGGCGCCCAGGGGACTTGTCTGCTGTACATGGAGATGAAGTGGCTGTTTTCCTTCGGGCGTAAAAGGCAATATTAGGCTCCCAGGTCCACCTCCAATTGCGGTCTGGACGCAGATCTAGCTCGGGGCTTCATTCCACAAGTCCGTGACCTTCCCAGAAAGAGCCCCGTTTTCTCGGGGAGCCACGTTGTCGTCCCAAAGCCTCAGCTTTAGTGCTGCCTTCACTTTGGTCTTCCAGGCTTCAACCCTCGATGGTTATTTTCACATTCTTCCCTCCCCTTCTCCCTGTGTCCCTGTGACCACATCCGGCTTGTGTTTCTCGTTTCCATGGCTCCCGACGTAGCCAGTCCCAGCTGTACCCTGGACTTCCAAGTCATTTCC